TAGTTTACTTAATCATTTTATTTCTATCAGTTAATTGATTTGAAATAAATGTCCTGACTATGATATTCTTAGTTATTAAAGTATCAAATTGTATTGTCTATTTAATTGTCGTTCTATTATCTTGTAATTATAAAATAAGATTATTGTATGTAATGGATGACTAGTTAGTGATGACGATATATATGTGGAAGGCTTACCTGAAGTCATGGAAAAAGGGTGTGCGAATCTGGTACATAGGGCAAACCCTACCGCGAACATTATATCACTCGAACGGGGCTGAAAAGTTTCGTACCAGAAGGAGTTGGGAAACACTTATTCACCCTCATTACCAGACAGAGTATTGAAGCGGTGGTATGTTTGGTACCCATTACTAGACATGGTATAATTAAGAGATTGGATATTGAGTCCAAGTGTAGTGAACCCCTATGGACCCCTAAAGACACCAGTAAGTAAGTAAAAATATAAAGTTTGATTATTATTGTTTCTTAGAATGCCTAATGGATTACTATTTTGATTCTTCTCTTCAAGAGTCGTATTTGAAAACTTGAAAAGTAAGTATGAAACTGATGTTTTTTAAAATTAAATGAATTTGCCTAAAAAAGAAGTAGTTTCATTGGTTGTTTTGCGATTTTTAACAAATTTTGATTTTCTATATCGATTGTAAAGTATTGATATTCTTACTGGGTTAGTGTAGTTCATTACCCTTATTTAACTATTTCAGATTAGGACAACCAAGATTCGAATCCTGAACAGTAAAAATGTTAGCGATTAAAAGTTTCCTCCTATTTTTCACCATTTGCATGCGGTGGTCGACCCTATAGGTTTCTAGTTGCATGTTTTCTTCTGTTATTTTAATTTTCTTCAAGGGAGATTCTCATAACTCTATTGGGCATTTTGATTAAACTATGCAAGGAATGTAAACCCTAAATTTTTAATTGCTTCCGTTAATACTTTATTAATTCAATATTACCATTTAAATTAATTTTGGGCTGTTATACTTAAGTATAGTTTTTACTTATAAACTAACTCTTTGAGAGAAAAAGGTGTGATATTTTTTGGGATATTATAAAAAATATTTGTAGAAACCTTTTGAGAGCATTATGTTGAGAATACACAAGTGGTTAGTGAGGTGGACACCAAGAATAACTAACTTATTATGAAAATTTTGAAATTTTTTTTTAAAGTTCTTGTGTCGAGAATACACAACTGGTAAATGAGATGGGTAGCAAGAACTGCTAGGTTGTTGTAAAAAAGTGAAGAAAATTGTAACGGCCCCGGAAATTTAAATGAAATGTATGTATTAAAAATCTCAAATACAGAAGCGTAATAAAATTTTTGATTAACATCCTTTACACAATAATCAAAACGTACTCAAAACATGAAGGAACAAACTAACTAAAAGAGATACTTGAGATAAGAACTATAAATATAACTATGAAATCTTTAGGGGTCCCCTTCGCCGTCTTCCTGCGGAACGGGCTCGGGAATAACGTATTCCTGATCTGAAATGGTTAAATAAGGAATGAGAGAGCTCCAGCCCAGTAAAGATATCACACTATCTCACCGCCACGGAAGTAAAGGTGGGTAGAAAACAAAAATGACCAATGGAACATAATTTATAATAAACTCGTTTATTAACATAAAAACCTTTACTGTCCACTTACCTCGGTGAGATCCATGAAAATAATATATGAAAGCAATAACATTATCATCATCATGAAATTATATAGAGTTTATAACATAACACTTACCATACCTTTGCATTTCAATCATTAAACAACATATTTTCCTCTTTTACCAGCCTACTAGTATTCATGGGGATCCATAGGGGGTCCCCGCTACACGTGAACCATTAACATTAATAACCTGATTTCAGGGTTGTCCCCATACTCCGTCCGGTATGGGCGCCAAAACCATAAACCTCCATACCCCATCCGGTATGAGGGTGAAACGGGCCGTCCTCATACCCAGTCCAGTATGGGCGCCAAAACACATAAGGTCTCCATACCCCGTCCGGTATGAGAGACTACATTCCCGGTAGGGTTCTCTACGGACCCGGTCCGTCCACCATCTCCCAAGATATCTAGTCAGGCTGTCCACATTATCCATTTATCAATTCACATAACCTTTTTGCCTTTTTCCTTGATCTCAATCATTCAATCATACACAACATGTAAACCAGTAATTGACACCAAACAAGACAACACAGTATCGGGTTTACCATAATACAAATCATAATAAAAGAAACCATGATTCATGCATACGAGATCATAAAATAAATACATCAAACATCATACTGCATTTAATACTGAAAAATAGATCAAACAACAACTGACCAACAATGTATCAGATTCGGGCTCTCTTGGCAACCTCAATCAATTATACATCTATAAAGTCTCAAAATACCGTTTAATTATTTATTAAGCTTGAATACCGTGATAGGAAATAGGGTGAGGGGTCCTTACTTATTTTGGGGTCTGAAATCGACTTTACAGTGCGCCTATGGGCTGTCCCTAATTTCCCTGAATTTTTTTTGAAAAACTGAAATGCACTACCAGTACTTGCACGTGTCCCAAACAAAATCCCAAATCAGACCTAGGACCCCTTTCGGCCAATATCGGAATTCTGACACGGTGGCTCTGCCGTGCTCCGGCGACGGCGCCGCCGCCTGCGGCAGCGATCCACCTCGGGTTGGCCGTCTTCGGCCAAACTTGCATCGGTCCCTGCGATAAAACAACCCTAGGGCCCTCCGTGGGCCAAAAATCACGAAAAATCGAGACTTACCGGCGGCAGTGCTTTCGGATGCAGCGGCTCCTCCGGCGTGAGTCGCGTTTTACTGTTTGGGTCCGATCAACTTGTAGAGAAAAGAACGGTGATAACAGTGGTATAAAATTTGCATCGAACGGAGGCCGGAAAGGGCCTCATCGGAGGCAAAAACAGAGGGGAGTCGCGGCGGCGGCGCCGGACTTCGGCGGGGTTGTTCCGACTGTTTGGCCAGTGGTTTAGCTCCAGTTTGGCCATAGGCGGATTCAGCATCGAAAAACGATCCAGGGGGAGAAAATTTACCTCGATTGGCGGTCAGAAACTTCTCCGGTGCGGCGGCGAGTGGCGGCGGCCGGCTCCTCCGGCGTCTGGTTCTTCTTCTCCGGCGAGGCACTGGTGGCTAGAGTTTTGTTGTCAGGTGTGAGTGGGGTTATTTATACCCTTTGCCTTTTAATCTCAACCGTCCATCAAGATTAAATCTGGGCCGTCCATCGCGATGCGATCTAGGCCGTCCGTGCGCTCGGGAACGGATCTGGACCGTCCGATCACGCACACGCGAATCGTCCATGTGGCCCGTCCCGTGTCAGCGTTTCCTTGCCACGCGGCGTATCCTGGTTGGCCGGGGCTGCTGACGTGGTACAACTTTTCTAAATTGCATTTTGACCTCCGGTTTCTGATTTTCTTTTCAAAAACACCTCCAGAATCCAAAATTTCACCCATTTTTTCCAAAATCAATTTCAATTAAATCCAAATAATATTTTTACCTAATTTTATCATTATTATTATTTTTATTTTCATTAAATTAAATTAAAATCTAAAAAATTCAAATACAAAAAAAGAAAAATAAATAAAAATAAAAATAATATATAAAAAAAATATTTTAGGTGTTACCAAAATATTTAAAAACTCAAGTAGTTGGTTTAAAAGAGAATATAAGCATAAGTGATGTATTGAACCTTTATGAAAGAATCTGCATTCTCTTTCCTTCCCTCGTTTAGTTTATCTTTGGCATATTGCTCAATATAACTTGATATCAAATTCTAGCTTGGATTTCATATACATACTTGGAAATTTATTTACAAAATCAAGCTTCTTATCAATATGCACTCGTATCATCATCATCATTCTTAAGGATTTGATTGAAAAGTTTAACATTAGTGTTATTTGTGTTGAGCCACATTAAGATATGATAATTAAGAATTTCTAATTTGTTATTGGAAGAATATATATTTACATTTCTAGTTGTTGTTATACACATTGTGTATTATAATATAATTATATGAGAAAAGTTATATTAAAGTTTATACTTATTAAAATATACAGCGAATACAATATATTTATTGTAAAATATTTAATAATGTTTATAATATATTTTTAAAATTAATAGTATGTTAATTTATATAATATTTTTATTTTTTAAAAAAATTATGTACCTCCAATGTATGATTTTTAATAAATATGTATGATATTTTTACTTGTGGTACACTGTAATTGAATAAAGACTGAAGTGACTATTTTGTACAATGACATTTTCAAGTTCTTTTAAGATATTATAATTTGAGTTTTGATTAAATGTAAACATCGAATTCAATATATACTATTCTATCATTTAAAAAAAATTATTAAATATTTCAAGAACATTGATGATTTCATAATATCTATAAATATTATTTATATTCTAAATATTATTTTTAATAAATATTTAAAATAATTTATTAATTCATTTGTACTTCTAAATATTTTATAATTAGTCATAAAATAGTGTTTTCAATTGTGTCAGTAACTGTAGGTGATTGACATAAATATTTAATTCTTCACATGAAACCTTAAAACTCCTATTTTATGAGATTAATTATTCCAGGTATTTCTATGGTAAATTGCACAATAGGTTTTTTATATTAATTATTTTAAGTATTTTTGTGGAAAGTTGCACTATTAATCTTTTAAAATTTTGGTGTAATTATAATCGAGTTTATAATTAAAAAACAATTACCGGAATTAATAACATAATTTAAAGTAGTTTTACTTTTCTACAAGTAATAAATATTTTCTTTTCCTAAATAGTGATCTCAAGATTTGGGAATCACAAATCAGCCTACAGTTGCCTCCCCGGAAAGTTAGGGGTACTTTCGTCAAATCAGTATAGCAGCTTCCTAAATAGAAAATTGACCGTTGGACACGTGTATAGATCATTATATAAACCGCTGAAATCAACTCTCCAGCGTCGTCCAAATCTCTCTGCTCTATCCGTCTGCTTCTTCTGCTAAAAATCTCTCTGCTCTATACATCTTCTTCTTGTGCTCTGCAAAATTATATTTCTGATATATACATATACTTTTGTGTTCTGCGAAATACTTATTCCCGATTTCTTTTACTTCATCTATCTGTTTCTCAATCTGCAGGTATAAGACAGGTTTGTTTCTGTTTAAAATTCTATTATTCTGTTTTTGTTTCTAACGCCATGGATGTAGGATCAGGAAAAGCTTATTCTGATTTGAATGCGCAGTCTAGATGGCCGCTTCATCAGTTTTTCCATAGAAGGAATTCTAAAGATAATGTATGTTCAACTCCCTTCTTTATGTGAATTTGCACTTTTTAATCTTCTTCGATGATTTAGGATTTTGCATTTGAAGAGATCAATTTTTTTTTTTTTTGGTAATTTAGGGTTTTGATTTGTAGCATTTGATTCAATATCACCGTTTCTTGTATTTTAATATCTTGAATTTGTTCCCGGTTCTGGCAGTTGGATAGATTCATACCGAACAGATCAGCCGTGGACATGGACTACGCCAGATACATGCTGACAGACGGGAGGAAAGGTAAGGAGAATCCGGTCAGAGAAGGAGCAGTGGAGACGAGCTCGCCATCGAATGCCTACCAGAAGCAGTTGGCGGAGGTCTTGAACATAAACCGTACTCGAATCCTGGCTTTCAAAAACAAACCAACAGAAACTTCCAAATGGATTCCCAATGAACATTTAGTTTCTTCTCTTCAACCTCCCAGATCTACAAAGCCTCTTAGGCATATTCCACAGGTGCTTTCATCGTTCTTTTATATACAGCTTATTTTCTTTCCATTAGTGGCAATTTGATTTACATATATATATATATACACACATTATACAGACATCGGAGAAGACATTAGATGCTCCTGACATCGTTGATGATTTCTACCTGAATATACTGGATTGGGGAAGTGCTAATGTTCTTGCTATTGCCTTGGGGAGCACGGTGTATCTGTGGGATGCGTCCACCGGTTCTGCATCGGAACTAGTCACCATTGACGACGAAGATGGACCTGTTACAAGCCTCAGCTGGGCTCCGGACGGTCGAAATATCGCCATCGGCTTGAATAATTCCCATGTCCAGCTGTGGGATTCTGGGTCCAATCGACAGGTATGTTGTTCTCTTTCCCCAAAATAATATTGAAATTAAAACTACCGAGGGTGTTTTGTTTCCCTTATTGGTTGGGTTTTGCTGTCGAGTTCGGCCAAAAGCATTAACCATAGATAAAACCCAACACTTCACAAGATTTGTTTAAGAGTAGCAGCTATAATTTAACTGTAATATACATGGAAAATAACCCACTGGTAGATTTTAGCTTAGGTTATGTCTGCTAAATCTTTGCCTTCATTGGGCTGTACTAAAAGTGGTAGCTGAATCGAATAGAATTATACAATTTTAATTGCGAGAGAGTTGAGAAGAAATGTGTTGTGATGATTGTGTTTATTGCAGTTGAGAACTTTGGGAGGCGGACACAGTCATGGATGCCGGGTGGGGTCATTAGCATGGAACAATCACATTCTGACAACCGGAGGAATGGATGGTCAAATCATAAACAACGATGTTAGAGTAAGATCCCACATTGTGGAAACCTACAGAGGACACAGACATGAGGTCTGTGGGCTGAAATGGTCAGGGTCAGGCCAGAAACTAGCGAGCGGAGGCAACGACAATCTTGTTCACATTTGGGACAGATCCTTAGCGTCATCCAGTTCAGAAAGACAACAGTGGCTACACAGATTAGAAGAGCATACATCTGCAGTGAAGGCTCTGGCATGGTGTCCTTTCCAAGGGAACCTTCTGGCCTCCGGCGGTGGCGAAGGAGACAGGTGCATAAGGTTTTGGAACACCCAAACGGCAGCTTGCTTGAACACGGTGGATACAGGATCCCAGGTAAGTTCATTGCTGTGGAACAAGAAGGAGAGGGAATTGCTAAGCTCACATGGTTTCTTTCACAACCAGCTAACTCTCTGGAAATATCCATCAATGATGAAAGTTGCTGAGTTAACTGGTCATAAATCGAGGGTGCTGTGCATGGCGCAGAGTCCAGATGGGTGCACGGTGGCGTCGGCGGCAGGGGATGAAAGGGTAAAGTTGTGGAATGTGTTTGGGGTGCCGGAAAAGGCGGCTAAAGCTGCACGAAAACAGAACCGTGAGCCATTTTCGCATCTGAGTCGGATCCGCTGAGAGAGGGAGGTAGGAAGAAGCTGCTGTGATTTGAATGATGTAAAAAATTTGAATGATCCATATCTGCTGAGAGAGATGGAAGAAGATGTATATATGATTTTGAATGATGTAAAAAGAAATGTAGTCACACGCTCGTGTGACGGACGAACCACGTAAATGGTATATTCTTTACAAGAACACTTTTAGTTTTTATTTTTATTGTTGTTATTTGATATAAAAAAGAGAGAAAAAGAGAAAAGAGAGAAGAAAAAAAGAAAATTCTAAAATAGAGAGGAACAAACTCTTCAAAGCAAAAATCTTTACTGAAAATTAAAAATTAGAAAGAGATTTGTTAGTAGTTCGTGTATAAAATCAATGACTTTATTATTTCTTATTCTGTTTTTTCTTTTTATATATATATGTATTGTATTTGAATTCAGATTTCAGAAAAAATATATATATATTTTGAAAGTTTTAATATTAATATTTATTTATAAAATTTGGCCTTAGGCTAATCCAAGCATGAAGTCCAATGGGCCTTAGGTCTGGTTCGCCACGAGCTTTGGTGCTGTTGGACTGATGATCTCTCTTTGTAGGCATTATCTATCTCAGAAAAGTGTATTTCTTATACATAATGTATTTGTTTCCATCCATGTCAAGTGGATGGTTTTGATTTGGCAAGTTTTTTTCTCAAGGGTGCTTATTTTACCATCGTGGAACAAAATTTGGTTATGTTTCAGATTTTATGCCAGTTACCTACTCGGGCGAACCAAGTAGTGATATTCCCTTTAAAACTATGACATGATAGATTTTTTGTAATGTTATAATTAATACAGAGCATATACTGTTTGCAAGTTAAATAATGTCGAGCCAAATATCCAGTTATTTGGGTCAAAACAGTTCTTACATGGATTGATCAGATAGAGTTAAAATTATTAATGAGAAGGACTTCGTTTAGGAGAACGAATACTTCTTATGCTTGTGGCTTAAGGGATTTAATCAGTTAATCTTAGTGGAAGGACTTAAAGCAATGGAGTGAACATCCTTGCGATAGATAGTCTGACCTGAAAAAGTTTTCCAAATGATCTTTTGCCATCAGATCCATATAAAATACAACTGCAGACTCGATTTGTTTTAAATATCTAATCTCAAATATTTTTCCAAGTTGCTTGAGATTTTTACCAGCTCAATGACGTTATCGGCTTCAGAAGATGAGAAGATTATGAAGGGTCTTAATGGAATTCCTTCATAAGGATCCATCCTAATTGTTGGAAATCATATGTTAGGATATGACTTAGTTTCCTTGCCTGATCGGTTTTATGCTGAAAGAAAGATTATTCTGAGAGGAACGGGACATCCCTTTATGTTTACAAGACTGAAAGACGGACTGTTACTTGATGTATCATGATTGGATTCACGGAGAACCACAAGGTGGAGTTCCTGTATTAGCATGTAACCTCTACGAACTTCTGTCATCCAATTCGCATGTCCTGCTCTATTTAGGAGATATTAGTGAGGCCATGCATAGGAAGGTATATGCCTACTGTCCGACGTGTTTAATTTGTATTTCATTTCTAGTTATTTCTTTACTGATTACAAGATTAAGATTAATATGTAGAATTACAACATAAAACATTTATGTAGAAACCACCTCCATACCCATCTTGAAGTACCTGAGAACCAACCAAAATCTTATAAACTATATTACCTTGTAAATGCAATGACTAAAAACAGTTCATTGCTGTTTCCTTTCTGAATTGAAGCCGTGATCAGAGTAATTGCTTTCACAACAGATAATATGGTGGCTTCATTGAAAAAAGATCTCTGTAACGAATGTTTCTACTGAAAACGAGTTGCCTTCTTTTTGTTACAAGATTCTCACTAAACAAGGTCTAAGCCTTGAAGACCAGAGTACATCCTACTTATTCAGCAATCATGAATTTCATACATTACAGATGAAGAATACATGTTATTTTGGCCTAAGAATCTTGAGTTTGTAAGGATTGCAGCTAAATTTGGCACCATGATAATACCATTTGCAATTGTGGGAGCAGATGATGTTGCCCAAGTAAGCTAAATAAACATTTTCCCTACAATTGTTTAAGACATTAGTTAGTTTTTTGAGTGTGGGTATAATTTCTACTTTCGGATGAGTTGCATATCTTTGAAACAATGCTTACTGAGTCATGCTTACCACAACAAAGATGGTGGTTGAGTTGGGTTGGAGTCATTCCTTTAAGTAGGAGGTCAACCTTTAGAAAACTAACTTTCAAAGGGTTTGGTTTTATTTGGTTAACCTTTTATATTTTAAAATAAGATCATTTTTAAAGAATTCTTGAATCTCTTAGAGCTTCCTCTCCAAGCAATGATTATTACTGAAATAGAATATCTCACAAAGAGATATAATCACACTAATGCCCGTTATTTCTCCTTTTTCTTAGGAAAAAAAAAATTGAATCAATAACTGCCTCCATTATTTAGAATAGTGATGGATCCAACTGTGAGAACATTCATACATATTCTATGTTCGTGTATGTTCAGATGTTGGATGAAGACAAAGTGATTACAGCTCAATCACTCTTATCAATTACAGGAAAGTATACTCAACAATTTTCTGTCTTTTATTTATCTTGAGAACTTTCTCTAATTGATTTATGCTTTTCAGTGGCAATTTAGTTCATCAAATTATTCTTGGGTACAAGTATTTTTTTACTACAATGACCAAATGAATATTCCTTTACTTAGATCTCTAATAGAAAGTCTAACAAGTGAGACAGTCACATTAAGGTATAGTTAACTATGTCTTCTAATTTATTCAACCTTTGTATTCTCTTCTTTGGTTCCTTTGTTATTCTATCCTTCTTGTTCTGTCTTTGAAAATTTATCCTCTAATAACAACAGGGATGATGCTAATAGAGAGTTAGCAAACCAAGATCTGAATATATCTGTAATTTTTTAAAGATTCCTGACAGATTTGACTATTATTTTGAAACATTAATCAAGACCAAAGGTATTTTTTGCCTAAGTAGGAAATGACAAAGTCACTCTTAAATATGAAAAATATGATAGAATTTGAATGAGAATTAGATTAAGCCATAATGCTAGAAAAAGTTGTTCAAAGGCAAAAGCCTTGACCCACTGGCCTAAACCAGTCTTATAAGGCATGATCGTAGTGATCGCTGCTATGCTCTCTTCCTTTTTTTTTTTGTAATAAAAAGAAGAGACGATTACGCCTGCACCTATCTGTATCAAGTGATATGATTGTCTACATACAAAAGTTCATCAGGCCGAATAGGGATAGATTGAAATCTAGTAGTCTTCAAGGTTACAGCATTCACCAATTTAGCTAGAAATTCTGTGAAAACATTCTCGTCCTTAGCTTGTGTTGAAGCTGTCTGTGCCAGTCTTGATTATCAACAAAATTATATAAAAATTCTTGATTTATTTAAAATACAGTCTTCGTAGATGGGGCTATATTTTCAACTATCATAATTTTTATTTCAAACATCATGATCCATTTGTAGATGAGTGTCAGAATACCACTTAAGAATAAAAAAGAAAATTTACAAAAAAGAATAAAATAGTCTTTTGGCATGCATAAATTAGGGTTAGAGTTTCAATCCTAATTGTTACCATCATCCCATTTCAGCTGGCTGCCTTCACAACAGCTGAGCAGTTTCTGCCACTACCACCACTCTTCCTTCTTACTTGTAGTCTATAAATAGGTCATTCTCCATAAATGTAAGACATCAAAGAAATTATTAAAATCAGAGTCTATTTTCGAATCTCGCCGACTCTCGGCGTTTTACCTTGTTTAGATTAACTAGAAATTCATAATCTTTAGTTTTTCACTCTAAATTAAAAAGTTAATGCATATTTCTTTCCACACCTAGTCCTTTCAAACTCTACATTCTTATGATAGACATCTAAGAGCAGGTAAAAGTTCAATATTCAATTCCTATGCTTTATTTGTTCAATAGAAATAGTATGCTTTTGGTAAATGTAATAAAGTTTTTTAGATTTATTTTATATATATTTTTTTAACCAAAATATATTCATTTGAGAATATCAAGAACAAAGGTGGGAGTTGTTAATTTCATGCATGGATATCAAGAATGACCAACTTGTTTAATAAAGAATTAAATTTATCACAACCCTTTATAGCTTGGTAAAGACCATGGGAAATAACGTGATTGTTGAATAAAATGACAATTAATTTGATGTGCTCGATATATTCATGAAAATAAGACTATCTAAGGAATTATTGTAATACACAGATTTTTCTACTCTCTCGACTACGGTGTAAAAAAGGGGTGAACCGAGGGAGAGAGATCTTTTATGCTATAATCGCCTCATTGTATATAGAAATTGCAAATGGAATTGAGCAGAAACTTCACATTCATATATTTCTTGAGTGATCATTAATTGAGCTGTACTCTTCACCACTTTTGTAATATATTTTATTTAGATATATAATGTAATTTTAAGAGTATTTATAGTGCGAGTGGACTAGCAGAAAAGTCCAGCATGATGGGCCCCACAACATGAATCGGCTTGGAAACCCAAATTTACACAAGAGAGTAAAAAGATAAATGGGTTGAACACATCGGACTGAGTAAAGAAGCTAGGAAAAAGAGAAGCCCGAGGTGAAATGGATGCGGAAGCCTAAAAAGATACAACCGCCACCTAAAGGAGCCAGCTTTGTTTCAGCTGAAGATCAAGTGGTCCACCTAATTTGTGTCCAAGATCCAGGCTCATCTGAAAGAGTAAAAGAGCAGGTTGGGGTTATGAACCCCACTCTCTCAATGGAAGACTCGACTAACCTTGAGTTGAAGGCCAATCCTGACTTCGATAAAGAGAAAGAAGAAGTTTCGTTAACAATAAGAGTTGCGGACAATGGGTGTTCTGATGCACTCGAAGGTATGTCTCTTTCTCCTTATGGCCTTGAAATTATGGTTGTTTTTGACACAAACTATGGAGAACTCATCCCGGGCGACCCCCTAAACTGGATGCCAAACCCAAGTATCCCGAACAAAGTAATGTCTGTTGAAAACGTGGAACAATTTTACTCAACTTGGGTCTTGCCAAATGTCAATCTTTTTAGCGAAGTTTTGGGGGCTGCTTTTGAAGGTCTGGAACAACATGTGTTTTTTCTGTTCGTTGAGTTAGAAAAGAGAATGATGGTGAAGAAAAATGAC